TTGTTTCTTTAAGTTTGTTAATGTGTACAATTAAAACATCTGTAGAAATTCAAAGATATCAATTTTTACAAGTTTATTAGTAGTTTAACAAGATTTGATATGAGGATTTCTTAGTTCATTCTTGTGTTGTCATCAAAACAGGAAACCTTGAGATTTATTACATACCATGACAGACTTAAAAAGAATGGATGTTCATGAAGCACTAGACAAAGCTAGAGCAGAAAAAGAGAGGCTGGAGGAAGAAGTTCGTAAAAAAACAGATCTCTACAATAACTTAAGAAAAGCTCAAATTGAAATGGTAACTAAATTTCAGGAAACAAAGCTGCAATCTGAAAAGCAAGCCAAAGAACTGAATGCCAGGTCTGAAGAGATGATATGTAAATTGGAGGAGAAACTTAGAGATGTTGAAGATCAACTGAAATGGAAGAATGAACAGTTTCAACATCTTGAAGAAGCACATGAAAGGCTTCAAGAGAGTTTTCGATGTAGCAAATCAGAGTGGGAGAAAGAGAAATCATTGCTTTTGGATGAGATTTCTTCTGTTCAGAGAAGCCTGGATGCTCAAATTAGAATATCTGAAACCCTTCAGACCCAATTAAAGATATGCAACCAAGCTTTAGCACATGAACAAAGCTCAAAGAAACTTTTGGAATTTGAAGTTTCTGAGTACAAATCACGTTTTGACAGTATTTACTTGGAGTGCCATGAAGCAAAGGCAACCATTGAGAAGTTGTCTCACAAGAGAGATGAAGAGGTTGCAGAATTAAGAGATACTTTAGCCACAAAAGATTCTCAATCCAAAGAGATGGGGTATAAAATGGTGTATTTAGAACAAGAAAATCAAGAACTAACAGCATCTCTCAAAGAATTCCAGGAATCTCAGATTGTAAAAAGTGGACCTACTGCTTCATTGAAGAAACTTCAAAGGAGATATCAAGATTTGGAACAAATACACAAGAAGTGTAAAGAAAATCTTGAAGAAAAAGAAGTTGAGTGGAAATCTCAAATGGAAAAGAAAAAGAAAGAAATGGATGAGTATCTATCAAAACTGAAATTACAAAATGAACAAGTTAAGCAATTACAGGAGGAGTTGGAAAATTCTAAGATTCAGAATCTTAGAGATGTTTCAGATGATTTATCACATAAATTTATTGAGATAGAGAAAGAGAAACAGTTGATAGAAAACCAAAGTATGTTACTTGAAACAAGCCTAAAAGCATGCAAGATTGAGAATCAAAGTCTTTTATGTAAAGCAAATGAGAAGAATGAAAAAATTGTTGATTTGCAACATCAAGTAGTCTTACTAGAAACATTGGTTACAGAAAGAACAGGGACAATAGAAGCACAAAAGAAGGATATAGAAAAGTATTTCAAAATTATACAAGATAAAGAAAGCAGCTTAGAAAATGTGCTAATTGGTTTTGAGCAAGAAAAAAAGAGCCTTTTAGAGGTGTTAGAAGAGAGAAACAAGAGGATTGAAGAAGTTATAGAAGAGATGACCAATGCTTTCAAGAACTCAGAAGAAAAACAGATTGAGAATGATCTCATACACCATGCTTTAGAAAAAATGGAGATTGAAGTTTCTAATTTATGTGAGAAAATGAAGGTCAAAGATGAATCCTTGTTGCAGGCTTCCCAACATGCAGAAGAACTACAAGTCAAGAAATTAGAAAAACAGATTGAGATTGATGTTATAAACCAGGCTTTAGAAAAACTGAAGATTGAAGTTTCTGATTTATCTGAGAAAATGAAGGTCAAAGATGAATCCTTGTTTCAGGCTTCTCAACATGCAGAAGAACTACAAGTCAAGAATCTAGAAAAACAGATTGAGATTGATGTTCTAAACCAGGCTTTAGAAAAACTGAAGATTGAAGTTTCTGATTTATCTGAGAAAATGAAGTTGAAAGATGAATCCTTATTGCAGGCTGAAGAACTACAAGTGTTGTTGGGAATCAAGAAATTAGAAACCGAAAAGCTTAAAGAACTGTTTGAAGATGAGAAAAGACAGTTAGAGGCTGAAAATCAAGGGTTACGTGAAGATATTAAAAAACTGTTATCACATAGGGAGGATTTGATAAGTCAAATGGAAACAATGTCTGAACAGATGGGTGAGTTTTCTAAAGATGATGAGTTCTTAATGGGTATGCTGGATAACATGTTGCAGAAGTCCACTTTGAACAAGTAGAATATGTGTTGTTGTGTTGATTCTTTTAAAAGTGTTTTACAAGTTCTTTTAGTTTTAGATAGGAAATGGAAATCTTGATCATGATGTTATTAGATAGGCCATAGTTATGATTGCAAAATGTTGTTAATTTAAATGTGTGAAATGGTATATAGTTTGGCAAAAGACATGTTTTTCTACAATTTGTTCCAAGTCATGAGTTCATATTTTAAGGTCTTAATCAATTAGTTTTGGATTAGAGCAGTTAATGGTAAAGTCTTTCAAATAATTTTTTGAATCAGTTAAAAGAATTTGGATAAGAGTTTATTCAGCCCATGATGCCATCATCTATTTTGGTTGTTTGAGTGATATCCCATGTGCATAAAAAAAACAATGTTATATCTTTTCTGCAACATCCAAGTAATCTTTAATACAAAGTTACAAACACATACTTTCATTTATGTTGAGGTAAGTCATAACTTTTGCTTTCAGATATTATGCATCACTTCTATCGGTTCCCAAGGTTTATTTAGGGCCTTCCCCTTTTTAGTACCTTGTTAGGTTGAGTTTCTTGAACAAATTTGGGTTTGGATTCGGAATCAACTTTGAGTTTGGTGAACAAATTCAGGTTGACATTGAGACACAAAATCGAAGGGATTAAATTCAGTTTCTATATAGAGTTGTAGATGTGGTTGTAGACATGGTTGTGGATGGGGTTGATTTTGTGGTGGAGTGTGATGAGTGCCGAATCCATCAAACAATAAATGATATTTGTACTTATATGATTTAAAAATAATAGTATAATAGCAAACATGGTTAATCCTTATGGATTCAGTTTTAATCCATAAATAAATCAAAGTAGTCATGTTTTATTCCAATGCATAAAAAGTGAATATGGAGAATTTGAAATCAAGTAAACTAAACTAACATATAGTAAAATAATTAATAGAAACAAGAGCAAAAACAATCTAGTTCCAATTTTTATTCTCTTAATGATGTAAAGCTAACGATGAATTGATGTCAAATTGAATTCTAGTTTAAGTTGGTATTTTAAGATATTTATAAACTCTATTATCTTCCATTCACCAAATTGTTTAATCAAAACAAGCTTTTAGAAATAGATTTAAAGATCACGTTTATTTTTTTTGAATGTTCCCAACAATGTTCAATATTTCTCACAAGCTCGATCCCAACCGTAAAAACATGCAATTTTAGTTTACAACGAAGTTAATCCATCACAAAACGAATTCAATGTGTGTCACTTAACATCAATTCAAAAAACATTTGTGGATTTTACAAATCTGATAACGAAAATGAACTAAACCTAATTAAAGCGTCCAACATGAATTGAGTCAAGAATCAAATGTTGAGTTATAACAAAATTAAAATTGCTAGAAACAATAACAACATAAAATCAAATCATATGATTAACTATATAAAAAAGGAGTTCAAACTACACAACTGAATGTGTTGCTTCAACTTACTAAATGGAAAACTAAAAATAACCTAATCGACATTATAATAATAATCTTGTAATTGTTACAAAAACATGATTATAAGATTATGTTTGGCGTACTAACTGAAAGCTAGTAGACACAGTTAGCTTATAAGCTAGTTGATAAAAATGATGTTTGGTAAAAATTAGTTGATAAACTAGCTGAAAGATATAAAATGACATTTAGAATAATATGTATTCTATAATTAGTTAGGGGTATATTTGAGAAATTTAAAAAAACCTCCTTAAAAGATAGTCTAAATGGCTTTTTAAAAAACTAGTTTGTAAGCTACTTTTTTGTTTGACAAATATAACAACTTTAAAAAACTCAAAACATAAGTTAACATGTGGTGCGCCAAACACAACCTAAGTTGTAGTTGTGCAATAGTTTTGTAGACTCTTTTTAGGTTGATCGAATTTCTTAATGAGTTTATCGAATAATAAATCCTATTTAATTTTTCAACACTTTAATTAGAACTAATTGACAACATAATTATTGAACAAGCTCTATCTAAGAATTGCATTAATGTTCAAACAAATATAGCAACCACGAGTGATTTTCTCATAAGCTCGGATAACCAACAAATCTTATACCAAAATATTTCATAATGCCAATAAACATCTATTACCAAGTCACTTGCATTATTTGCTCATTTTGTTAATCGAATGTCGGATTACAGAACCAAACAATCAACATAACAATTCGATTATCTAAATCCTAGTTGAGGTGATCAAGTTCAAAAAAAATTAAGACAACAAAAATTATTGCAAATGGAAATCATATGGTTAAAAAGGAAAAAAAAAAAAAAAAAAAATCAGCACTTTCAATAACAAATCCAAACGGACGATTTAGTGGTTTAAGACGACTAAACCACCAAAAACTAAGAAATCTTCAATAGTAAATCTAAGATTGTTTTGATTTTAGGAAACAAAAGAAATCTTCAAGTTTCTAATAACCGATCCCTTTTTGGAGACCAAAACATGGGCCTTTCATTTTAGAATCAATAGTAGGATAAATTAATGATATTGGGCTGTAGGTTAACGAGGTTGGCTGCAAAGAATGTCGTAAAAGTTAGATTTATGGGCTAATTTAAAAAGGCTCTAACAAAACAGAATCTAAGCAAATTCGGTTGCCACTGTTTACGAGGCCCAAATGTGTATCAAACCATGTCCAAATCCAATCTTCACTGTTCAGATTAAAGATCTGTGGGTTACCTAGATACCAGCAAAATTTCACATGTTTACCCCTTGATCAAATTATTTTACAAAGACTATCAAATTTCCAAAAAATATTTAAATTACTTGTGAAAAGATTTGGAAAGTATCCATATGCTAAAGAAAAAGTTATAAAGTAAAATACTCTTATATTATTATTTTCTTGTTAAATGATCGTTTAGAAAGATAAAAAATAAAAACTATTTTAACTAATGACCACAACAGACCAAATAGCACCATTGTTTTTACTAAGAACACGGTTCACATCAGCAGAGTCACACCAATAACATCAATCCTCGCTTTTTTTTTCAAAAAATTAAAAATCTTCAATCTCTCTTCAAACAAATATTTGCAAAAAACTATATAGCAAATATAATATTTACCACTATCCACATAACTATATATACATATGAAAAGTTGGAACATACCTTTGAACATGATTGATGATTTTATTATTTATTATTTGATTATTATTCACAAAGAGATATGATCTGCAAATCAGTTGAAGGGTTTCTCCTAAGCCTTTTTTGTGCTTGAGAAACCGCATTATGTCTTCTTTTAGGAGCCTGCTGCTGCAAACTACTACTCCCTTCTTCACATTTTACAGAAGAAGAAGAAGAAGAAGCAAACTTTCGTCTGTAACAAGAAAGATGACCCCCCACATCGTCTGAATCAGAGTCCTCCACTACACATGTTTCAAACACATCATCATCACTTTCATCTTCTTTCTTTTCAACAACAAATACATCTACATCTTCTTCTTCTGGCTGATTTCTTTCCTTAAGTTGTAATAAATTCAAGGATTTATCAAGACAAGTCATAAACAACGACTCTGACTCTGACTCTGACTCTTTCTTTCCACCTACTTGCTGCTTAACTTCTTCTTTTGCATTGCTTTCCTATACACGTGTCAAAATGCAGTTTAGATAATCATATATCAATGCAAAAAGACAGCTCACCTACTTATTATTATTATTACCTTTGTTGGTGATAAGACAGCACCAGCAATGGAAGGATCATAGAGAACCAACTTTCCATGATTCTGCTCATCATCATCATCATCAATCAATGAATCTTCATCATCTCCTGAGTCTTCACAATCAGACTTATATGGTTTGCTTCTCAGAGGTTTTACCATTAATGGTGTACTACTTCTTCCATGGCATGTCTCATTCAGAATCTCTAAATCTTCAGATTCTTCCTCCTCATTTACATCTTTGTCTTCAGGAGACAACTCATGGTTGCAGTTGGGTGATAAAGCTTGTTCAGATTTACTTTTTGCAAGTTCTATGATCAATCTTTTTATTCGGCCACGTTTTAAAGAAGCTTCTGTTGGATAGAACCAATCTTTACTTATCTGAGAATACAAGAGAAAAGACAGATAGATATATTGGATTAAGGAACAAAAAATTGTTGTAAAAGAAGGCAATAGATGACTTAGACTGAGACTTACAAAGTTGCTCAATGGGTTAAAGCTACTGGGAGCCTGTTTCATAAAAAGTTCCATGTAATGAAGCATGAACAACCCACAATCATATGAGTTTTGTTGCTGGGGTACCTAAGGTCAAAAGAGTCGATGATTATTTAACATTCAAAAAGAAACATAACATATGATGCTTCATGTGGCATGTAACATGGAGTTAAATAATAAATAGTAATACCACCTCAAGACGAAGAAACCGAAGACTCTTGAATTTTGTTGAGATATCTTCTGCTCTGTTGCTACTCCTCTGTTTCCACTCCTCCCAGAGATAGCTGTAGGGATAAATTTGTTATTACAGAAAAAGGATTCCCAAAATGAACTAATAATTTATTCAAAGATTCTGAATAGATTATTACCATTTAATACAATTTTCGATGCCTCTATGGCTTCCTTTAATAGAGTCCATGTGCAAAATGCATGGTACTTTCAGTGAAACCTCTAGTTCCTCATCTGCACAGATGTTACTTACTCATATTAATGGAAATGCCACATAACTAAAAGTTCAAAATCAAATAAAAACTTACCTTCAAAATTCACTACTTCCCCAGGATGACAAATAATAATCAGACTCCAATGCAACCTGCCACATATGTAGGACAGATGAGAGAGCATGATATCATGAATGCCACACTTAAAATAAGGAAGGAAAAAAAATCACCTGAAGTTTACAGGAATAAAAATGTAATCCTTTTGAAAAATATCCACTTTCTTTGTCCATTTCCGAACTCGTTGAAAAGATTCCTTGGCATCAAACATTTGTAATTGATTTTCATCAAAATCTGCCAGCTTTCTGAAGAAAAAGCTATTGAAGAAATGGACTCTTTCATCAGCAGGATTGATCTTCTTCAGGTATCTGTCATTAACTCAAACTTTGTCATTTAACTTATTGTCTTATTCTAAATCTATTCTCTTTAGTTATCCAATTCATGTACGAATTACATATATAGTTAATGTAAAAAAAATAACAAAAAACTCAACTCGATATAAAAGTCAACAATGGTATCATTGATAAACTTCTCCGGATGTAGCAGCTGAAAATCTCTCTTGGAAATAGAAATAGAATCACAATCCCCTCGATAGGTAATGTCTTCAAACAATTCATATGAGCTGTGAATCAATTAAGTAAAAATGTCACGAAAGAGATTTGAAATCAATTAAAGGTTTACAGAGAAAGGACTCACTCAAGATCAACTTCCCATTTTTCCTTATACTGATCATCCAGAGACTTAATAAGCTCTTGCATAGAATCCCAATTAGGGTCACAGACAGTGAAATTCACCTTCATAATGCCTGCAAGATTGTTTAGAAAATAAACTTATGACTTGCTGTATGTTTAAGTATATATGCATTGGTAAGAATAAAACCAGATATCTTGAAACAAATATACACAAAATGTACATTGGAAATGAAAATACCTGACTTTTGATTACTGATGGGTTGTTTTGGATGCTCCAACTTGAAATGAAGACAGACATCAGCTGTTGGGAACTGAAAAAGACAACGGAAACTAGAAATTTCACAGAAGTTAACCTAAAAAAAATGAAGGTTGATAATATAATAAATTGAAGCTCTAAACTCACGGGATCCAGCCATTTTGACTCAATACAAATAAGATCGACTGTCTTCCATTCGTAAGTAAGAGGACCCATGGGTGCTTCTTCCTCTGAAACATCGAGCTTAATGGAACTGGGAAGAAAAGTCAACTTTGCACTCCAGTAACAATTTCCTTCATATGTAGTGTATTTTGGGTGAAGAACAACACTCTGTTCCTGTAAATCACAACCAAGAAGAAGGAGAAAATTATTATTTCCTTCTATTACTTCCTTCATCAATTTATGAATAGACTAGAAGCACACTTACCATCTCATGTGAAGTAATTTCTTGCACAAGGCTCTGTTCTCCTGAAGAACCTGAAGAGGTAACAATCATGGTATTAGGAACACTTTGTTCTCCAATTAACATAAAGGGTTATTAAGATAATTCAAAAAGTACAGAACCTTGGGTGTCTGCAAGATCATTAGAAGACATTTCTGATGAAGTATCACTGTCCTCATCTGAGATGAGGGAAACAGGCTCATTCTGCAATAAGAATGAAAAAATGAATAATTGTTAGGTTGTTCAAAAAACAATGTACAATTCCTTGTGTAGTAAATGAAATACAAAATGCCAAATACATCAGCCAAACAAAACCGTTGGGTGGGAGCTTTGAGGGGCTTAGGAGTAATGAAATCAGAAGACTTGGATCCTGCAAAATTCTTTGAATTGTAGTCTGAAGAACTGGATTGTAAAGCAGTATCTGACCGAACAATCCTTTCTTTCACTGCATCATCATCTTCGTGAATAATTACAGTTTCATCCCTCAATTTCTTTCCTTTAGGCTCCTTTCCTTGGGCAACTATGGTGAAAAGGTAGGTAGATATTAGATAATGTTATGACATTGAGTACGTGTATTCATATATTAAGTACTCTGAAATAGTTTTAACCAAAAAGAAGTTCAATTATCGTCACACATGAACTAGAATCAACTCTAGCACCCATTCTAAGCAACACAACAACTATAAATTCAAAACAAACACATTGACGTGCAACTCCGTCCCTACTCCCAAATCTAGAGTTTCAAGGTCAAACCAATCAACGTTGATATCACTTGTCACAGATTTACTGTCGCGTTTCTACTTAAAGCAATTGTTATGAAATCAAGCGTAAACTATCTCAACAAAAATTGGATTTGAAATATAAAAGTGATCTACTGGACTTCAACAGTTCAACATCGAACTGCTACTAATCAATTTCCCGTGATTCCTTGAACATCAATATGATAGAATAAACAGGTGTACTAGTGTTAACTGGTACAGCGGAATTGAAAAAATTAGGGTTTTAGATATTCTCTCAATACGTACATGATTGCAAAAACGTGTAATTGTCGACGGGGGAATAACCGGAACGAAATTTCTTTTTCCCTGATCCTGTAGGGTTCCATCTGGATTTCATCTCGGCAAGTTCATCTGATTCGTCAAAGACAAATTGAGGAAATTCCGAGAACTTCTTGCTGGAATAACTGGTGCCCATCGTAAGGAAACCCTAGAGCAAGTGTTTGATTTTGATCATCAAGAGTCGAAAGTTGTGAAGCTTCAGGGACACGAAGGGTTCATGTAGGTTGTAACGGCAACTCTGTACGGTCACACGCATCGAAAATCTCCTTTACAAAATTTTCATTTTTTCTGAAATTTTTATTTGGTTTTGCGAACGGCCCCTCGGTAATCAATTATTTTGCCCAATTAGTCCTTCAAGTTTCACGAGAGTTACTTTCACACACTGAAAGTTTTGGTACCTTGAAAGGTTAAATGGATCTGGATACAGAGGTGCATACATGGGCAGCCATAAACAAAATATCGTATCTTAAACGGTTGTTTTGATTACCATGCAAATCTTGTAAATTAAGTATCTCTTTTGTCTTCTACATATTGTTTATGAAATTCTGCTAATATATAGTTTGCCATCAAATAAGTTGAATTTTACATTATATGTGTGTTGGTTATATTTTTAAAAATATTTTATTTTTAGATTTGACATTTTTCACTTTGAAACATAATGATCCCACTACAAAATACTTGCTTATTCATTATTCTAACTTCTAAAATTTGATAATGTGTACGCAGATTTCAAATGCAATTGCCAAATTAAAAATATGCCAACACCAAATATGAAACAAACTACTTATATATATATATATATATATATATATATATATATATATATATATATATATATATATATATATATATATATATATATATATATATATATATATATATATATCCTAATTCTAATAAATAAGTAGAACTCTGCCACGTGTCAATCTATAAGACCTACAAAATAGAGTTTTCCCGCTCATTTTATTCATCTATATTTACATAAATGCCATACAATCCAAATTCAATAATTCCGGAAAAATCTGCAAACAAATATGTTAATCAATCTTCAGATTCGAAAAACACGCATTAATTTTGAAAGTTTGTTTATTTTGATTGCAAATTAAATCCCTAAAAATCTGCAATATTATTCTTTTCCAAACGTAATCTTCTTAATTCTTATTCTTATTTATTCAAACGTAAATAGCATTCATACGGTTATTTTCTTTTTACCATTCTGCTCCAGACGAATTCTGCTCCATAGTAATATTTGCAAACGTATTCTTCTTCATTCTTCTTGATTCTGCAACGCTTCAAAAATTATAATATCAGGTTAGTGTATTAAAATATCAACATTACTAATATTTCTAACCTCTTAATTGTCTGATTTACCAGTTTCTATCATTTTTCATTTTATTAGTGATGTTCTTCTTCTTCCTTTTGCTAATTCTTCTTAATCATGTTCTTCTTCTACTTTTTCAGTTTAAAAGACGTAAATGTTAATGAAAATGATTACAAAATACGAAATTAGTAATAAAAATGAGAACTTTATTTTCTTTAAAAAAAACTGTTCTTCAAAGCTTTAACTATTACAATATGTTTTTTTTGTTTTGCTGTTTCATTTACTTTGATTTGCTGTTAATTTAAAAGGTTGCTAATTTTCCTTACAATTCTATAATGATTAAATTTATTGCAGAAAATGGAATTCATATGCGAACCCAACTGATTGGCAATATGGTCATTAAATTTATTCTATAAAATCAAAACTTATCTGTTTTCATATGCGAACCCAACTGATTGGCTTTTCAAAATCAAATTCGCAACTCCAAATCGTTCGATTATTCTCCCCGATTCTAAAATCAAATAACAGATCCTTCGTATGATTCATTTAATAACCAAGGCTTCTTTTACTTCAAAATGACCATATTGCCCCTAACTTGATAAATATTTCATATATCGCAATTAACAATTAAGACAAATCAATCAATCAATCAATTTGTATAATAAAAATGCGAAATTCTTAGCTTTCTTCCCCAATTCGCATTCTACTGTAAAATTCACATTCTTCATTCACCATCTTTCTTCGCATGTTCCAGTCATTTTTTTTTTAGTTCATTCGCATTTGAGTTGTTTGTCTCACCAAATACGAAATGAATATTAACCATAATCACCTTCGCATCTTTAACCCCAATCCATACAACCTCATATGCGAAACCCAATTTTGATTTGTATTACCAAATGCGAACATTTTTGCTTTTACATGTGAACTGCATTTGACTCCAATATGCGAACATCTTTAACCCCAATCCGTACAACCTCAAAGCTTTAACTATTACAATATGTTTTTTTGTTTTGCTGTTTCATTTACTTTGATTTGCTGTTAATTTAAAAGGTTGCTAATTTTCCTTACAATTCTATAATGATTAAATTTATTGCAGAAAATGGAAATAGGAAATAAGGTTTACCTAAATAACATTGACCAGATAGATGAAAAATCGCATATCAAGGTTCGGGTGCTTAAAATTTGGAACTTTGTCAGAAATAATAAAGTTTGTTCCATTGAAATGATCATCATGGATGAGGAGGTTTGTTGTATTTGATATATTTTTTATTCATCATTCAATATTAGACATGTTTCATGAACATAATAATTTTTAATTTTTTTTTAAACAGGGTACACAATACCAAGCTCGTGTCTTCAATCATAATTTCTCCAGATTTCGTCATCTTTTAAAGGAAGATGAAAGTTATATAGTTATAAAACCCAATATGGCTGTTGTTACTAATGGTTTTAGTTATACAGGTCATAAACATACCTTAACTTTGGATTGGAAAAGCATCCTAAAAAAATGTGATGATTTCTCGGGTCCGGTCAATGGATTTATGTTTGTTGACTTTAATTCTATCATAGAACAAACATGCCCAAAAGACACATTCTTTGGTTAGTCATAAAATATTAATAAAATCATTTTTTATCATTTGTTTTTTTGGTTATACATTTTATTATTTAAATATTACGAATTTAATCCTAAACTTTTATTTTTTTGTGGTATCTGTTGTGTAGATGTTATTGGACATATCGTGTCATTTAGGCCTCTTGAAACTTCAAATCCAGTACCATCCAAGCATTATATAAAAGTCACTCTTAGCAACCTAGAGTGAGATTATATTGTATTATTTATTTATTATTTATTATCTTTAATTAATCACAAATTAATATTAATATACTATTTTATGGTTTATTTAGTTCTGTACATCTGAAGGTTACTATTTTTGGAAGTCAAGCATATCAAATTTCAGAATACCTAAAAATAACCCGACTGTTAATTTTGTTGTTATCGTGATGCAGTTTTTGAAGCTAAACATTTGGAATGGTTTGTATTCAGTCTTTATATATAGATGTTTATAATTACTGTTTTTATATAAATTTTAATAATTGGATATACATTTTTTACAGGTCTTGGTGAAGCTAAAAGTCATTTTGAAGTAACGAAATTGTTCATAAATTCTGACATTTATGAAATAAATGAGTTTAAAAATAAGTTAGTTTCCAATTGTTTTTTATTTTTTTATAATGTATTTTAACTTAAAAAAAACACAAAACCTAATATTCATGAATCTAAATTAAACATTACAGGTTGAAATGTCATGACAATTTCGGTATAACTGAAAAAAGCATAACTACACTTCAAAGCTACTCTTCTTCATATACAGATGACTTTAAGGGTAATTTTCCATTAAAAACAATCTGTGAGATCACCGAACCAATTAAGGTATATTGCATTATTTTATATGTTTTACATTTTATTTTTGCATAATTTATTTTAATAATTTTTACATTTTATATGATACAGGAAATGAAGTTTTTATTAGTTGCTTCCATTGTTAATATAAGGCAGAATCTATCATGGTATTATGAAGCATGCAAAAAATGTGGAAAAAAAATTATCCCTGTTCCCAAAACCAATCATTCGTATACCAACCCTGAGGGAATTTCAGAAACTATGGTTGTCGAGTGTACAAATGCACAATGCAAAAAATCTGAATTTCAGTCAGTTATAAAGTATAGACATATTTATTTCTATTAATTTTGTCAATCTTAAAACAACACTAACAATGACATAATTATTTTTTGTTTTAGGTATATAATTCCAATTAACGTACAAGATTGTACTGGAACCATTGGATTGACTCTTTTTGATAGGGAAGCAAGGAGGTTGTTAAATATAAGTGCCTACGAGTTGAAAAAGATACATGATGCGGTATATTATTCATACCTTTAAAATCAGAAAACATTTACTTAATTTTTTTAATTTATTAAAATATATCTTACAGGCCGGAGACAGTGATGCCCTATTTCCAATGCAACTTAATGTGTTGAAAAACCGCAAGTTTGGTTTTGTTGTAGATATTACAGAATACAATGTCAACAACTATAATAACATCTACACAGTTCTCAGAGTTACAGAAGATATGTCCATTATTTGTGAATTGGAAAGTAAAATAGAACTTATGGTATGTAATTTTTTATTGTTGAAAATTTACAATTCTTTAATGTTAAAGTACATAACGATTAACATATTTCCATTTTATTTTTTAGAGTAATCAATCTGTCTCCTTAAATCAAGTTGCTTTGGAATCCGATGATGTTGTACAGCCTGTTCAAAAGGTTTTTCATTTTATTTTATAAACTTTTAATTATATTAGTTATTTTTTTTAGGAATCAAACATTTTTTTTTAAAATTAGGATGTGATCTCACAAACAGACGAAAGTTTTACACCCTCAACAGTTGATAAGTCAATCGCAACAAGTCCTTGCAAAATATCAGGTGATTTGAAGCGCAACCTCCAAGAAATTTATGATGTTGATTCTGGATATGATTTAAGTTCAACTAAGGCTAAAAGAAAGTCAACCGCAGAGGAAACTCCACTCTTGATTCCAAAAATTGAAAAGTGAGTTTCTATCGGTTATAAGACACATTTAATATATTTTGATCATTTGTTTTGGTTATAAAGATATTTTAATTGCTTGGTATGATTTTTATTTTGGGGTATTTAGGATGTCAAATATTATTGGTTTTGAATATTTTTGGATACTTTTATTGTTTTAAATTGGACAAGTTAGTTGATTTTGGTTATAACTCAAATAAAATATATTGCCCCTAACTTGATAAGTATTTCATATATCGCAATTAACAATTAAGACAAATCAATCAATCAATCAATTTGTATAATAAAAATGCGAAATTCTTAGCTTTCTTCCCCAATTCGCATTCTACTGTAAAATTCACATTCTTCATTCACCCTCTTTCTTCGCATGTTCCAGTCATTTTTTTTTAGTTCATTCGCATTTGAGTTGTTTGTCTCACCAAATACGAAATGAATATTAACCATAATCACCTTCGCATCTTTAACCCCAATCCATACAACCTCATATGCGAAACCCAATTTTGATTTGTATTACCAAATGCGAACATTTTTGCTTTTACACGTGAACTGCATTTGACTCCAATATTGAACAAATCACATTTCACAGTCCTTCTTGACTTCGCATTTTTCTTCACGAATCGTCCCTCAATCAATAACCCAATTGCGAATCCAAAATCAAAACTTATCTGTTTTCATATGCGAACCCAACTGATTGGCTTTTCAAAATCAAATTCGCAACTCCAAATCGTTCGATTATTCGCCCCAATTCCAAAATCAAATAACAGATCCTTCGTATGATTCATTTAATAACCAAGGCTTCTTTTACTTCAAAATGACCATATTGCCCCTAACTTGATAAGTATTTCATATATCGCAATTAACAATTAAGACAAATCAATCAATCAATCAATTTGTATAATAAAAATGCGAAATTCTTAGCTTTCTTCCCAATTCGCATTCTACTGTAAAATTCACATTTTCATTCACCCTCTTTCTTCGCATGTTCCAGTCATTTTTTTTTAGTTCATTCGCATTTGAGTTGTTTGTCTCACCAAATACGAAATGAATATTAACCATAATCACCTTCGCATCTTTAACCCCAATCCATACAACCTCATATGCGAAACCCAATTTTGATTTGTATTACCAAATGCGAACATTTTTGCTTTTACACGTGAACTGCATTTGACTCCAATATTGAACAAATCACATTTCACAGTCCTTCTTGACTTCGCATTTTTCTTCACGAATCGTCCCTCAATCAATAACCAATTAACCCAATTGCTAATCCAAAATCAAAACTTATCTGTTTTCATATGCGAACCCAACTGATTGGCTTTTCAAAATCAAATTCGCAACTCCAAATGGTTCGATTATTCGCCCCAATTCCAAAATCAAATAACAGATCCTTCGTATGATTCATTTAATAACCAAGGCTTCTTTTACTTCAAAATGACCATATTGCCCCTAACTTGATAAGTATTTCATATATCGCAATTAACAATTAAGACAAATCAATCAATCAATCAATTTGTATAATAAAAATGCGAAATTCTTTGCTTTCTTCCCCAATTCGCATTCTACTGTAAAATTCACATTCTTCATTCACCCTCTTTCTTCGCATGTTCCAGTCATTTTTTTTTAGTTCATTCGCATTTGAGTTGTTTGTCTCACCAAATACGAAATGAATATTAACCATAATCACCTTCGCATCTTTAACCCCAATCCATACAACCTCATATGCGAAACCCAATTTTGATTTGTATTACCAAATGCGAACATTTTTGCTTTTACACGTGAACTGCATTTGACTCCAATATTGAACAAATCACATTTCACAGTCCTTCTTGACTTCACATTTTTCTTCACGAATCGTCCCTCAATCAATAAACCAATTAACCCAATTGCTAATCCAAAATCAAAACTTATCTATTTTCATATGCGAACCCAACTGATTGGCTTTTCAAAATCAAATTCGCAACTCCAAATGGTTCGATTATTCGCCCCAATTCCAAAATCAAATAACAGATCCTTCGTATGATTCATTTAATAACCAAGGCTTCTTTTACTTCAAAATGACCATATTGCCCTTAACTTGATAAGTATTTCATATATCGCAATTAACAATTAAGACAAATCAATCAATCAATCAATTTGTATAATAAAAATGCGAAATTCTTAGCTTTCTTCCCCAATTCGCATTCTACTGTAAAATTCACATTCTTCATTCACCCTCTTTCTTCGCATGTTCCAGTCATTTTTTTTAGTTCATTCGCATTTGAGTTGTTTGTCTCACCAAATACGAAATGAATATTAACCATAATCACCTTCGCATCTTTAACCCCAATCCATACAACCTCATATGCGAAACCCAATTTTGATTTGTATTACCAAATGCGAACATTTTTGCTTTTACACGTGAACTGCATTTGACTCCAATATTGAACAAATCACATTTCACAGTCCTTCTTGACTTCGCATTTTTCTTCACGAATCGTCCCTCAATCAATAAACCAATTAACCCAATTGCTAATCCAAAATCAAAACTTATCTGTCTTCACGACATTCCCGTGATAAAGAATGACTATGATCGTATGTTTCTTGCATTAACAAATGAGCAATGGAACATTTTCCTAAACATCAAGAGTGCTATTCAACAAAATAAAGGAGGTGTCTTCTTTGTTTACGGGTATGGTGGAACGGGTAAAACTTTTTTATGGAAAACAATATCTGCAGCAATTAGATCTGAAGGAAATATTGTATTAAATGTTGCTTCAAGTGGTATTGCTTCCTTATTATTGCCCGGTGGTAGAACAGCACACTCTCGATTTATAATTCCATTTGAGCTTACAGAGGATTCTTTTTGTAACATAAATCCAGACGGTGAGTTGGCAAGCTTAATAAGGAAAACCTCTTTGATAATTTGGGATGAAGCACCTATGGTCCATAAGCATGCATTTGAAGCTTTAGATCGAACTTTGAAGGATTTATTAAGGTGCGTAAATTCAACCATCTCAAATATTCCATTTGGAGGTAAAGTTATTGTCTTTGGAGGAGATTTTAGACAAATTCTACCTGTTGTGCCGGGTGGCAGTAGACAGAACATTGTAAATGCTTCTTTGAGTTCTTCATATTTATGGGAACATTGCAAAGTCCATAGATTAACAAAAAACATGAGGCTAACTGTTGGAAGGGATCAATCAGATATAGGAAAAATAAGAGATTTTGCAAATTGGTTGTTGGATATAGGAGAAGGAAAACTTGGTGGTTCGAACGACGGTGAAACGATTATCGATATTCCGGATGATATTCTCATTAATGATTCACATGATCCTATAGGTTCCTTAATTGAGTTTGTATATCCTTCGATTTTAGAGTACTATAGCGATATAAATTATTTCCAAGAAAGAGCGATACTTGCTCCAAAAAATGAAGTTGTCCAGGAAATAAACGACCGTTTACTTAAGAAGTTTCCAGGAGATCAAGTTGAATATTTAAGTTCAGACTGCATATGTGAATCCGAATTTCTCCATGATCAATTTGATGCAAATCTATACTCTCCTGATGTATTAAATGGACTCAAAGTATCCGGTTTACCAAATCATAAATTAGTTTTAAAAATTGGTGTTCCAGTAATGTTACTGAGAAATATTGATCAGAAAAACGGCTTATGTAATGGCACAAGACTACATGTGTTATCATTGGGCAAACGTGTTATTGAGGCACGTATAATAACTGGAACTAATATTGGAAATCAGACTTTTATTCCAAGAATGTCTTTAACTCCATCAGAAAAAAAGATTCCCTTCAAATTCACAAGAAGATAGTTTCCTTTGGCTGTATGTTTTGCAATAACTATTAACAAAAGTCAAGGACAATCGTTGTCAAAGGTTGGTCTGTTTCTGAAAGATCCAGTTTTTTCACATGGACAATTGTATGTTGCCTTATCTAGAGTTCAGAGTAGAGAAGGATTAAAATTATTAATTTTAGATAAAGATGGAAAACTCACAAATAAAACTTCCAATGTTGTTTATAAGGAAGTTTTTCGAAATTTGTAGCCAACTTTTTTGTAACGTCGTTTTATTCAATTTTAGGAAATCACACTTAATCCATCATATTACTGTATTTTTTTATAATTACGTATTGTTGTATTTTATGTTAATTTCATTACACACATTGGTATTGTATCATCTGCATATGTCCAATTAGAATGATGAATAAAAAAAAATAGTTTTCAAAAATCTTCATTCCTAATTAAATACTTCCCATTTAGTTTGTAATTAAATAATTACCAATAAAAAAATTATTTAAATATTCAATATTACAATTTATAAGTTATCAGAATTATTGATATAATATTTTATTAAATAATTAATTTTTAAATTCAATTCAAAAACAGCACCCGTGGGTTCCACGGGTTTTAACCTAATATATATATATATATATATATATATATATATATATATATATATATATATATATATATATATATATAAAAGCTTCTTGTTAATCATTGTAATACTCATTGTTAGCGTTGTCTACTAATATATTTATAATTTTATTTTTAATTAAAAACGGTTAAAATTTTCATTAAATTTGAAAAAAAAAATCTGGACCTATGTGTGACATAAATAAGTGAGTTATCAATGTTAAATGGACCATACTAAATACCAAGTATTTCCATTAGGTGCTACTTCTGCCAAAACCTTCAAAATACTGTTTATTAAAGTGATTTTTCGGGTAAATTCACCAATAGATGTTTGTAAATCATTACATGCTATAACAAAAAAAAAAAAATTATAGTGTCGTGTTTTAAAGTAGTACGACTTACTTGTAGAAAACAATATTCTAACACATTTTGAATATGATCGATCGGCTAAAGAAATCGAACGATTGCCCTTCTTTAAAAACCCATTTTATCGATAATTTTCATTCTATCTCATTGTCATGCTGGAAAATTTGAGTATTTCCATGTATATGGGTTTGTCCCGGTAAATTAATTGCTTTTTCTTTTTACATACACCCTAG